CGCTGAGCAGACAGAGCTCCGAATCCAACTTCGCGGGGGGAAACTGCGCCAACAGACGTAGCATTTGCTCGATGAGGCTGGAAACCTCGCCGGACAATATCTGCGGGGGCGAAGAAAAGGAAGACCACCTCTCGCGCCCGCCCGCCCGACGCCTCCGTCTGGGGAGAGCGTCGCCGCAATCGGCATCGGCGGCAATAGCAAGTGGCCCTGGGGGCGACGGTGGCCAATCTCCAGCGGGGGGCCGCGCAGAGCGTCGCTGCCTTAGCGTCGGCACATTCCCGGGCGGCCTCTTGGATCCACCGCTGCGATCCGCATCGCCCGCGCTGGCCACTGCCGGCGCGGCCCCGGAGGAACCTTGGATCAACGGCGCCTGCATCCTTCGAACCCCCCTCAAAACCCTCTTGCTCCGCTGTGGGAGGGGCGCCGCTGTCGACAGGCACTGCGGCGGCCGCCTCATTCTCGCTCGCGCAGCTGTGGAAGTAGTTGGGAGTCCTTGGCGGCGAGGGCAGCGTCGCCGGGTTCCTTCGACGCGTGCGCCGCGCCCGACTGGCAGCCCAGATCCCCCCTTGACGGCTGCAACTTCCGCCTCGGCCTCACGGCGAAGAGCGACCTGATGCGCGGTGGTTTCCTCCTCGCGCTGCGATGCGTCGCCCGTGGCCGAGTGGGGGTCGCGTTCCCCGCTCGGCAACGCGCTCGCATGCGCGTTCGCTGTCGGCCAGCTTCTGCCGGTCAGTCTCCGTTGGACTACCCTTGCCCTCGCCCGAGGAAGAACGAGGCTCGACCGTGCCATGGCCGGACGTGATCATCGGGGCCTGAGCTGCCGACGTTGGCGCGGCCTGCAATCGAAGACGCGAAACAGACCGTGCCGGATGCGGCCCGCGCAACTCAAGCGATGCATATGCTGGCGGAGACAACGGCGCAGGCGTCGGACAGATCGCCGGGCACGCTGCAAAGGTGCCGAGAGCACAGGCCGCGCAGCCCAAATCAGAATGAAGACTTCGTCGCGCTCAATGTTGGCAGCCCCGCGCTGGAACTTCCTCGCCAGCGCAAGGGAACTCGAGATGCTCAGCGCGGGCCGTGTAGCAGCGGGCTTGTCGTTCAGTTTCGCGACGCATTGCGTTTTTTTTTTTTTGTGCCAATTCTCGGCGCGCTCGACATTGGGGCGCTGCCTGGGCACGGTTATGTTCTTGAGTCGGAGGGCAGCTGTCGCTTTGAATTTCGTCTCCAACTTGTCGGCCCCGGCCTAAACAATGCCTTCTTTTCTGCTGGGCCTCCTCCGGGCCTGAACGCAACGCGCCAACTGCGCCAGCCTCGCTCGGTAGCCCCCTTTGCGCTTGTCCTCCGCCAACCAACTCACTTGCGTGGCGCTGGCCTCCGGCATCCTGCTCGAACTGTTTTCGATGGCATTATTCGGCGACTGTAGCCACCCGGGACGCAGCAGCTACTCGCGCGCGCATCTCGCGCCCAAGGTTGCCCTATTGTTGCTGCGCCTCGGCGGGGAGGTGCGCCGTCCGAGAGTCTCGATCTCCGGCTGCTTGTTGGCGCATCTGAGATTCGCGCGCTGCGTCTGTAGGACCATTCGCTGCGCCTGTTGTCCACGATGCACCATTTCCTCCTTGACTGCCAGCACCTTGGTTGGAGCGGCGGCCACCGCGGCCGCCAGCCCCGCCTTCCTCGCAACAGCTGGGACATCAACTTTCATATTGACCACGACCTGCCTGGGCGCTGGCATCGACAAAATGCTCGAGGGGCGGCCCTCATATCGATCGCACTTGCATGGGGAAACCAGCAGCAGCCTGACACGGCAATCGCAACGCATCATCGGCTCGATTCTGCCTGCTCAGTTGAGAAACAAGGCCTGGGCCCTCCGCCGCAACCTGCTCCGCAGCAAGGGGCAATGCACAACGGCGGTGTCTGCCGTCGACTATGGGTGTGGGAGCTCCCCCGTTGTGCGCCGTCGCTGCAGGCCGATGATCATCGGAATGGCGAGCGGAAGGCGGTGGAGGTGGTGGCGGCGGCGGTGGTGGCGCCGAAGGCGAAGCTGAACCTGAACCGCCTGCCGCTGCTACAAGATCTGGCGCAGCCTGGCGCACCCCGCATCCTGAAGCCATTCCTCTCACCAAGGTGTTTCTCCTGTCGTGTCCGTCGCCTTCGCTGTCCGGACTGACGTCGAAGGCCTGTCTGTCCTCGTTCGCCGCGTCCTTCAACAGGCCCTTGTAGTGTAGCACTGGCCTCCTCATATGAATTATTGTCGAACATGGAGACGATGCGTTCCTCTTGGGAAGATAGACTTAGCTTACACCCCTTGCGTTGCACGTGCGGCGGCTTGGAGCACCATGGAATTTGTTTCACAACCGACAATCAGGGTGTTGTTGAATTAGTAAGGCGCCGACATTACGCCATATATCAATCAGCCCAGCTAGTTTCACCATTCTCGACTCAATATCCTTGCGGAAAGCTTTGCGCGCTGGACCAGCGCTGGGGGGCCTCTCTAAACATG